AAAAAAAGGGGGGGCCCCCCCCCCCCCCCCCCCCCCATTGTACGTCAGGATTCAGGCTTTCGTCATCTTCTCAGCAAATTCGTTAGTAGTTCAACATGACGTCCAACTTCTCGCCTGATTCAGGCCCACAGACAAAGCAAGTTCTCACATATGACTCCATGCCATTATCTCCACTGTGTTCAATTTGCCGTCTTGTTCTTGACCAGATGCCACCACAGCTGGACACTTTGGTCCTGAAAGCTCCAGTAAAATGCGTCTTAACGCCAGAAGGCCAGACCTTCGAGCGATTCCTCAAAGCCGTCAAGTATGAATGCCTCATATGTTATCGGGTATGGAATTACGAAAAAAGAAGCGCTGAGGAGTGGGAAAGCTTTGGTGCGGTGAATTGGTGTCCTTTGACATACTTGTATCAAATTAACCGCTCCTACCATGTTCCTCCCGAAGGGAGGGATGTAATACGGAGATTGGATATAAAAGTGTATCAGCAGAGTTCTGTGGCAATACTCAGCAACCTAGATACCGCACCTTCGTTCGCGTTGTTCAATGTAAAAAGTAAGCCCAAGCATTTACTCTTTAAAGCTTACATGCTGATCAAACCAAGGCAAACTATGCAACCATGAGCTAGCGATCGATCCCATCGGTCAAAACACCGGATCTCCCCAAGCGCTGCAAAGGGCTGCCGACTGGCATCAGTTCTGCCGATTCAATCACAGCAAATGCTCGAGTCTGCCGACTCGTAGGCCCGGATGGACACCGTCGCGCCTGATGGACATTGGCCAGGCCCAAGACGAAAGTTGGAGGCTCATCATTACTGCTGACCAGGCTGGCAGGCTATCAGATGCCCGGTACGCAACACTCAGTTATAGATGGGGATCAAAGCCACAAGCGTTGATGCTAAAAACTTCGACCTTGGGAGACTTTCTCGGCGGAAACCCGATCGCCGACCTACCCCAGACATTCAAGGACTTCGTCGTGGTAGCCCGTTAACTTGGCTACAAGTACGTATGAATTGATTGTCTATGCATCGTACAGGACTGCAGCCAAGATTGGAACCACGAGGCATCTAGCATGAGAGATGTGTACGCGAATTCCGGTTGCAATGTTGTGGCCTGCGACTCGTCAGATCCTAAAGGGGGCCTGTTCCAATACAGAACCCCCAGCGATGTGTCCCCTGGCCTTTTGGAAATTAGTCTATCATCAGGACAGCCTCAGCGATATGTTATTCACGATGGTGCGCTCGCCAGAAGGAATTCCGATGATGTGATAACTCTGGCGGACCGCGGATGGGTGTTTCAGGAGAGATTTCTGGCTCCACGGTTGCTCTCCTTCCACGATCAGCGTATCAGCTGGGAATGCTGCGAAGGCCGTGAATGGGAGGGTGTAACCCAGTCATTTGACGACTCAATCAGCATCATGGACAAACTACTGGCCTCTGTTCAACAGAACGCCGAAGCTTCATACGGGGAAACGACAGAAGCCACTCTAAGCCTCTGGGAGGACATGGTGAGCTTGTATTCACGATGCAAGCTCACCAAGTCCGAGGACAAGCTTCTCGCTTTTGCTGGTGTCGCCAAAGCCTTCCAAGAGCTTACCGGCGACACGTATCTAGCTGGGGTTTGGCGGTCGCAGCTGCTCGTACAGTTGAAGTGGACGGTTTTTAAGAACGAGAGGGCGGCCCAAGTTCCCAAGCGATATAGGGCGCCTTCATGGTCATGGGCATCTGTGGACAGCCCAGTCCGGCTCTGGTTTACCAAACAAAGTTTACCTCAATGTGAGAACCATTTGGTACTGGAGGTCCTAGACGCGGGCGCAACTTCCAACGCCTTTGAGGGAATGGCCGATGTGAGTGATGCTTGGTTAGAAGTACGAGGCACATGTTTTGAATGTTCTTACGAGAAGCAAGAGGGTATGTTTTCTCTGCTTCGGCCCGATTTCGACATTGGGGTAGAACTTGAGGCGATGGTTATAGTGGATGCTACGGAATATGAGTTTACAGATGAAAGTCGGACTACTCTTTTGCTTTACATGGTCGTTTCATGGGAGGGGTATTGGTACGTCGCCGATGCCATGATACTGCTCCCCATTTCAGGCTCGAGAAATGTGTACAAAAGGATAGGTTGGGCACATTTTCGGCCTCGGGATGCAAAGAAGAGCCCCGCGGACCAAATGTTGTCTCCCAGAATCGAGAAGGCCGAGCTTCTCATTGTGTAACAAGAAAGGCAAGAAATTTCCTGGATCAACTCAAAGGAGATCATAAAATCATGAGTGTATCATTATTGTAGCATTCATAATCCCTCTCACCACCCATCCCCTTCTTCTTCCTTTGTCCGTACGGCTGGAATGCATGCTGTTCATGTAAGCGCTATGATCACACAGCCAGCCTCCGAGTCAGAGAACAGATATCTGAGGAAGGGGTGGGTCGACGCCCTGGTATGAAGTCCTCGGAGCAATTTTCTTCAACAAAATCCAATACAGAGAGATGATCATCATTTAGGATGAAGTGTAAGTCATTGAGAATTATTCTAGCTCATATCCCGAACTCCGGCTGATCGTACATTCGTATGGGTATCAATATCGTAGCAGTCATCTTCCATCTCACCACCCATCTCCAGAAGGGTCCCAGGAGTCCCAGTCCAAGTCTCCCAAGCCCTCCTCAATCTCACTGACGCCTCCCTTCTTCCTACCCATCCCCTTCTTCTTCCTACTAGTCTTCTTCTCCTCCTTCGCAGCACCTTTGGTAATCCTCGCCTTGCCCATCACCTCCACGAGCTCCTCCTCAACCACATCCTTCACCTCAACCACCCCCAGCTTCCCGCCCCTCTTCCTCTCAATCTTCCTCTCATCCCTCGCAATATCAGCAGCCCTCATCACTTCAGCCCTCTCAGCCTCCCTCGCCCGCCTCTCCTCCTCGGCCCTGTCCTCATCCCTCCACCTCCTTCCATCCAAAACTCTTTGCCTCGCGCGCACCTCCTCGTCAGCCTCCATCTCCTTCCACAGCTCCCTCTTCTTCCTCCCCTCCTCATACAACTTCTCCTCCGCAGGCGTCCTCTTTCCCTCCGCCCTCAACCTCCGATCCCTCTCCATCCGCCCCATCGCCAACCTCACCCTCGTCTCCTTGCTCAGCGGCACCCCCATAAACACAATCCGCGTCTCCGTCCCATTCGGCAGCCCGACAACAAACTCCCTCTGCGCATCGTTGACTTTCACCCCCTCCTCAAACAAATCCAGCTGCCCCTCCTCATCCTCGCACCCTAAGAAATTCTCCCGCACAATCCTGTCAACGTACACGCAAAAGTTCGTCGTGAACCCTCGAAACATCTCCTTACACCCCTTCGCGTCGACCCCCCTCAGCTTCTCCAGCTCAACCTCCTCCGCCGCCCGCACAAACACAACCCCCCTCTGCACATCCCGGTCCCACCCCCGAAAGCTGCCCCAGTCTCGCCGGTACAGACAGCTGCGGTCCTTGTGCTTCCCCACATACGTCATCTCCAGCCGCCGCAGCTCCGGCAGCCGCTCGCGCAGCTTCGCCAGGTAGACCGCGTGCTTGCGCACCACCTCGGGCCGGATCGCCAGCTCCCGCAGCCCGCGGCACTGGTTCAGCACCCCCCAGAACTGGCACCACCGCTGGATCGGCTGCTCGAGGTACTCCCCGGTGAACAAGTTCACGCTCGTCTTCAGGCTCTTGTCCGCCTCCTGGAACCCGCCGACGTACACGCTCCGCAGCAGCCGCCGGTACGCCTCGCGCAGCCTGCTGCCCACCGCAACGGTGAACTCGTCCGAGCTCTCGAACACGAACGTGTTCTCGCCCCAGAACAGCGGCGCCGCCTCCGCGTGCACCTGCCGGCTCGCGAGCAGCAGGTTCAGGCCCCGGCGCTTCGCGCAGCGGCACTGCGAGGGGGCGTCCCAGGGGTACAGCCGCGGCTCAACGAGCTCGAGCGTGGGCTCGAGGACGAGGTGCGCGGGCGGCTCGATGGAGGTGCGCGTGTGGTTCTGGCGGAAGTGGCAGTCTGCGTGGTGGTCGAGGGAGTGCTTTGGCGGGGACACGAGGGCGGCGCGCCAGATTTGCGTGCGGAGCTCGAGGGGCAGGCCGAGGAGGGTCTTGGAAGAGGAGTGGATCTGGTTGGGCGCGAGGGGAATTGTAAGGGTTAGATGAGCCATTTTGGTGACGTTGTTGATGATATTGGTGATGGTGATGGCTTCGTCTGGATGCGTGCTGCCGCTGCCTGGTCTGTCGCGACCGGATGGCTAACGATTCGATTGAGTTGATTGATTTCGCTCTTGGAACTTGTTGCTAATCTACAGAAACACCAACCAGCCTGATAAATGCGGCTCGGGGTCATCAATGTCTTAAAGGCAGGCAGCCGTGAGCCGCAATGCAGGCCGCTTCACTAATCCAGTGGACAGCAAGAGCACGGAGGCAGCCGCCGGATGAGTCACGGCGCCGAAAACTAAGCGTGCTTGAGGCCAATGTCGCCTGGCAGTCTGCCTGAAAACGCATTGATAGCACGAAATGCGGCCAATTGGCGACGGATTGCAGGTAGAACGCCATTTGGAGAAAGCCGGTTGGTGAACTGGCTTGTTAGGGAGGCTCAGTGAGGCGGTGCTGACAACGGCGCCGCCGGCTGGTTTGCTGCGGACGAGGGGGCTTCTCCGCAATCTCACGGCTTGGTTCTGCAGCAAGCTCCATCTCACAGCGCGATGCAGCGAATTGGGCTTGGGGGCTTGTGATCCAGAAGATATGGATTCAATTAGGCTCGCTACGTAATTTCTGTTGAGACTTGAGGTCGTTACTGTCGTGTCTGTTCAAATTGGAAAAACATCATGCAGCGCCAGACTCCTTAAACCGATAATGCCCACATTTTCCGGCAATGTTGCTTAGCCCTGTGCAATGACGTCGCGGATAATCTTGTTGCAGTCGACTGGGTTCTCGAAAACGAACCAGTCATCGCGGGGAACGTTCTTAAACGCCTTCTCGAAGCGCTCCGGCTCGTTCTTGGCGGCGAGACCCACGGCTGCGATGTCGGTTACTTTGCGGATCAGGATGAGCTTGACCCAGCCCTTGAATTGACGGTAGCTGTGCAATGTTAGCCAAACGCTAGATGTTCGGCACGGTGAGTACTCACATGTCGCCATAAGCCTCGGGATCCGATTGCGTCGAATCGCCAATGAGAATCATCTTCCGCTTGGGAAGCCATTCATGCACCTTTCTGATGCGCTCCACCTTGTACTGCTCCGTCGCCAGCGTCAATGCCGATAGCAATCCTGCAACGGTCTTCCAGCTAGAATCGCGGAGTATGATGGTTCCTGGTGGGTAGTACTGATCTCGGAACTCCCTCAGGAACGGGTAGAGGTTGTACGGAGACGCAGAGAGGTAGAACCATGGAGAGCCCTGAGGCAACATCGCCTGGATATTCTTGTATAGCTCCGGCATGCCCTCGATTGGTGTCGGCTCATTGACAAAGGTCTCGCGGAGGATGCCAATGGGGTCGCTCGTCTGGGTCAGTTTGATGGTGTCGTCAATGTCTGCAACTGTTAGCCGATGTCCATCAAAACAGCAACATTCAAATACATACCCGAAAGAATGGACCACCCCTCGGGCTCCGCGAAAAAGGTGTGCATCTTCAGCAAACCCGATGTCCCCTGCGGCACCATGGCGCTCGAGGAAACCATCGCACCCGCCGGCTGCTCGTGAATTTTCAACGTGTCGGTACTGATGCCGTTCGACGCTGACGGACCCAGCTTGAGTTCCTTCTTGTGGTTGATCACCCGCAGGTGTCGCGACGGCTGCACATCCCACAAGAACGGCAGTATCCTCTCCTCGATCGTCTTCAACTCCTCCGCATCATCAGCGAGTCCCAACTTTGTCGCAACACCCTGCACGATGTCGACCACCTTGCACTTGGGCTCCTTCTCGAACACGGCGGCGATAAACTCGGCTTGCCAGCTGCCCAGCCGCGATGGCTTGTATGCGGTGTTGTCCATCAACCAGACGATGTCATCCTCGGTCACGGGTCTGCCCCACGGGTTATAGCTCCCCAGATGCGACAGCAGGCCGCTGGCGGTGAAGAAGGCCGACTGCAAGGTCGGGACGGTGGGGTTGGGAAGCTCGGCTTCCACGTCGTCGAAGCGACGTTCTCGGCGGGTTTGTTTCTGCATTTCGTCTGCGTACGACGCGGCGGGGCTCTTGGATTCGTCTTGTCCACCCATGATTGCGACTGCTGCGATGATCGGTATTTAAGTGTTGGTTTTCTCGCGTCTGCCTTTTCTCGTCTCTCGTTTGCCCCCCAGTGGTCACTCGGATCAACAGTTGGAAGTGTGACTAGATTTCGGTGTTATTGGTGCCTTGGCGGCGAAGTGGTTGGTAGGCTGACGGCTCAGGGCTCAGAGGAAGACCGTTTGTGTCGGGAAGCAGGCGTTCCTGGTTGAATGGAGACTCGAGGGAAGGATGGGCGAGATGATGGAGGCAGGCTGTACGGGAACTGGCGCTCCCAAGTAGGTGTCGTGTCTCAGCCCTCAGCCGGGGCAGCTGTATTCGTACGGGCGGCGCGACCAAACATCTGCCCCAACGCCTGCCCAAGAAAGGCACGGCTGGGTCGCAGGGCAAGTCCAGTCGATCGGATGCATTATGTCAGAGCTAGCTCGTTTGGCTGCATCGTCTGTGTGGGAGGCGCCCGTGACATGGTTTAGGGCGAGCTGTGACAGGACAACCATCAGATGGCCTGGTAGCCTGGTGGTGAATTGGTCGCAGCGCGTCTTGGCTGAAATATGCCCCTCCAAGGACCCGTGTGACTCGCCTGCAGGGTGACCGGTCGATGACGATGGGCAGATCTGCTGCAGGCGAAGGTGTGTCGGAGGCGTAGGAAAGATGGAGGGGCAAGGGGCTGGTGGGTTGGGGCTGGCAGTTGGACGAAGCGAAGCACCAGCGGGGGCGGGAGGCATCCGGCCCTGGTCCTTGTCTTGGCGGATGCGTTCCGAAAATATCCCGACTCGCGATTGGGGGTTTGCCAGCGTCACGTGGAGAAGAAGCACGGTCCATGCAGCCAAACGCTCTCTCCAAGCTCACGCCTGCAGAACTTAAGGTCATCGAACATGGGATAAACTCTCTTGATCAACTCCAAAAGTCACGGTGAATGGTTCGAAAGTGAGGTTGACTAGGGAGAAAATAAAATGCATTAAAAAGGGAGAAGATGACATGCATCCAAAAGTAAATGGAATGTCCTCGGAGAGGCTCGAACTCTCGACCTTTGGATGTCTCTGCCTGTGGCAGGGTCATATTGATTAGATAATATGAGACCAACGCTCTACCGACTGAGCCACGAAGACAGCTTGCTGTGGCGTGGTGGAAGCAAAAGATGACTATGATCTCTAGCAGAAAGTCCCCACTGACAACGTTCTACGATTTCTAGCGTTCCTGAGTCCGCTTAGGACCTTAAGAGATTTAATCTCATAGTCAAAGTAACCACCTATTTCAAAAGTTCAACCAGAGTTGCTTCTTTCAAACGCACTACTTAAAGTGTGTTCGTCCGAGTCAACTCGCGGCGGGCGGCCCATCTCCGAAAGTGGAGAGCAGACTGCACAACACAACGACTAAATTTGGATGCGGACGGGAAAACGGTGTACAGATGGAGTCGGCTTTATATTACTTTTGGAAATGCCCATCAATTCATCCCTACTGATTGAGAAGACAAAACATCAACATGTGAAAGCATCTTCAACCTCGCTAAACGAGGGTGCTTCGAGACCCCATTGGCTCACTGCCTCTGAGTGCATAGTCCGGGCAGTCAGCCAATATTCTTGCTTAGGTCGTATTTTTGAAGACTTCACATGAATTTCAGCTGAATCAGCTGCGGCTTGCGGAATGGGTTGCAAGTGAGAATTCGGAAGGCTATCACTGTGACCAGGTAGCCACTCGATTGGTCTGTCTCACCTGTAAGCAATTCCGTGCCCCGAGGCTGCCTGGAAGAAGACGGCCACTCCGCTGTATCGGGCAAACCATATCTACATACACTTACCATATTCGTCCCCGACAGTCACTATCAGCAGCAGACGGCTGACTGCAACGCCGCACGAACGACGAGGCTGCAAGTTCGGCTGACCACCTTGTCGTCGGCGTCTCGTGTAGACTGGCCACTCATACGAAACTTCCACATACCACAGTAACACAATATTGAAGGCTCGCATAATGATGGCTCAGCTGAACATGTGGAGTGTGCGTTCTTCCTCGGCGATCCGTTCCGCACGAATATATATAAGACTCTTGTATTCTCCTATATTGCACTTCTAATTCCAACCACTTGACACTCTGCCATTAGCGATTTCATTAGGTTTGCAGATCATGGCTCGCATTCAAGACTTCGAGGGTATGCAATACTCTCGCACCGGCGATGAATCCGAGCAGCAGGACTATGCCTTCTTCAACCAACAATACGCATCTTCAACCTACCAAAAGGAACACGACATGAACCCCAGCCTCATCGTCCGTCCCAAACATGACGAAGACGTAATTAGGGCAGTCAACTGGGCGCGCGACAACAAAGTTGCCGTCGCTGTCAAGAGCGGCGGTCACCAGTACTCCGGTGCATCTTCTACGTCTGGGAACAATATTCAGATCGACCTCTCCAACACCTACAAAGATCTGATGGTCCTCAAACCCAAGGACCCCATCGAGGAGGATCGCACCCTTGTTTACATGGGCGTGAGTACCACAATGTTGGAACTCAACCAATACCTTAAGCATAACAAACTCTTCGTGCCGACGGGCCAATGCGCTTCTGTCAATGTCGGCGGACATGGCCAGACCGGGGGCTACGGCCAACTCGGCCGCAGCTTCGGGCTCTTCGGCGACAACATCAGGACTATCCGCCTTGTTCAACACGATGGCGTCATCCGTGATGTGACCAAGGATAACAATCCGGATCTGTTCTATGCCATTCTTGGCGGAAGCCCAGGCAACTTTGGCATCATCACGCATTACATCCTCGAGGTGTACAAGTCGAAGAGTTACCTGGGCACAGTGGCTGGCCCAAATAACTTCAAGGGGCCACACGGTATCAAGGCGCTCTGGATTTACTCCCGCGAAGTCCTTGAGAAGCTGCTCACAGCTGTGGCCAAAATGGCCGCTGATCCTACCTTCCCCCGCGGCTTCGACCTCTGTGTGAGTGTCCTGAGCACAGAATTCCCCATCACGACGCTCTTCCAGGAGTTAAATGACGCAACGGTTTGGGAGCGCGTGCAAGCCCACATCAGGAAGGTTCTCGAGGATAAGTTTCTGGCGTTCTTGAACGGCAAGTTCCCCGCTTCGATTATATTGTATGCGCAGTGGTGTCCTACCAGCAAGGAGGACAAGTACGACGCCAAAGTGGACGCCTGGTTCGACAACTTCCGCCAGCTCAAGAGCCGCCTAGAGGATGAAATGCTGCAGTTTGGCGAGTTCGACATGGAAATGTCGGAAATGACGGGCCAGTGGCTCTTCCCCAAGGAGCGCGAGTTCGATCTGCCGTATGTCAAGCATGTCTATTCGACCAACTCGACCACTCTCCTCGAGGACGGGTGGGTCAAAGACGTCGCGGACCGGATTGGCCTCATCTACAACCCGAAGCAGTACCTCGACGGCCAGCCTGGCGAGAAGAATTACGAGCGGTACCTGCGATGCAAGTTGTCGGTGCAAATTCAGTGCTTCGGCGGGGAGAAGTCGCGATTCTTTTCCAACAGGGACAATGGCACCTCGTACAGTTGGAGAGACACTACCGTCTGCCAGACGTTGGATTGCTTTCACGAGGCGGACGCCGAGTCGAAGAAGTATGCCGATGCGTGGCAGGCGAAGAATGATGCAGTGATGAATGGACCGGACAGTTCGTTCAGTAAACAGGATAGACGTCTTCTTTGGGGCTCTCATGGAGATTGGAACCTCGGAGATGAAAAGGTTTGGAGGTGTTACTATGAGGATGAGCAGAAGTATCGGAGGCTTGGAAGGGCGAGGGCGAAGGCAGACCCCAACGGAACTTTCACGGCCAACCCGTTTTCTGTGACGGCAGTTCACGATTCTGAGCGGGAACTGAAGTAGGAAGCAAAATGAACTATCTTTACTCGTCGCGATGAGCATGCTGCATGCCATATTAGACTCCGAATACAAAGGTGTCATTTCGCCCCTCGTTGCTCATCATGTGACATTATGTGGAATACTGCCTTTGAAGATGATTCGTTTGGTGTTTACTTTTCGAAAAACAAGTGTTGGACTTCGCTTTTTTCTGCATCTGACAGTTGGTCATCATTGTGAGAACGCCTTGCTCGGGCTCCGCAGGCTCTCAATCGGGAAGATGGTGTAACGACCGGTGGGTCTTTAGATGTTCATTACGCCCCGAACCGGGGGCGGGTACAGACATCTGGTATTCTACTGGTACAGGATATTGCGTACAAATTCGACTATTTATTGGCTGTGTTTGGCCAATCGCAATCTGACATGCAAAGATGCATGAGACATGCATGCTGATCTGCCAAGGTAGCCTACGGCCTCGTGACGACGCGGCACAGCCTCAGCCTGCGGCAGGGAAAGCGTTCGGAAGCCTCATCTTTCCCATCCATAAACCCTCACAAGCCATCCTCTTTGGCGCTATGAAAAGATTCTTTACGGTGTTTCAATGTTTTTGTTATCATCCATTTTTAATTCACATATTCACCTTTCAATTCCGGGGCGATCCTGCCCAATCTAACTAGGAAAACAACATCAGGCTGTGAGCCTGCTCGCTCACAATGGCCGAGGCCTTGGGTCTAGCTTCGGGCGTTATCGCTGTCGTGGACATGGCCACGAAGGTTGGAGGGGCCAGCATCAAACTCAAGAGACTCTGGGATGAAGTCAACGAAGTGCCCTCCGTGCTTCTCGAGAAGGCGGAGCTCGTCCAAGGATGGGATGAGTTGTTTGAACAGGCTGAGCTTCAACTTGCCACTCAAACATTACCTGCTCTGGTTAACAACAAAATGTTGCTTCAAAAATCTGCTAAAAAAGCTCGCTGTATCCTAGCTGAGCTTCAAGTGATGATCGATGGATTTCTTGAACAATCTACCATCGGGCGAAGATACAGACGCAAAGTAGGATCAACCAAGGTCGTTCTTCGAAAGAGTGAAGTCAAAGCTCTTGATGAGAAGTTAGACGAGGCTTTGACTCAGTTTCAGATGGCACAGTCGCTGTACACAATGTATATTGTATGTCCTTCTCCGCAACTGTTTGTGCAGCCTGCAACTGACAACTTGAACTTGGAAACAGGGCGACGCTGATGCACAATCCTATCCTGTCCATCGAAAGCCAATCACCGCATTTATCCGAGTCTCCCAAGAATCAGGGCACCTCGGACCCTTCCATAGCCCACTCGGATTCCGGCGACGAGAGTGCCGACGACAAAGTCACCCATACCACAAGCGAACCCCATGTCAACTTTTCAGTTTCGGCCAGCCGGACGGTGGTTGGCAAAGCCCATTTCACACTCGGCTCTCTTAGTGGATTCCAGTTTTCCTTAAGGACACCAGACTGGCTTTCTTCATCTGTGTACTGCGTGGTGGCTTCCAAAAGCATCAGAGGGTGGGACCTCCATCTCAGAGCTTACGAAGTTGTTCCAGATTTCCGGACCACTGGTCTGATTGATCATTTCATAAGCGACGACGCCCTGGCTATTTTCAAATTTCTTGAGAAGAACAGTATGACTCCTTATGTGCGTGACATGGATGGTCGAGGCTTGCTTCATGTAAGTTGCCAGATACACACATCTCCCATGTCACAAGCTTCATTGATACAAAACTTCAAAAGCTAGCGTGCAAATATTCATCCATCAATTTCATGAGTCTACTGCTCAAAAGGGGCACAAAGCTCTCTATCTCAGCAAAAGACACAAAATCTAGTGCGCTTGATGGGTAGGTGTTGGACATTTGGGACACATTGCCCAGCTGACTGGATGAAGGTCTAGGTGGTTATGGTATTCGCTTGCATGGGGGTTCATGGCATACGCAAAGTTGAACCGGCATTCCCCCTTTCCCGGCCAAAAAATGCTTCAGCTCCTGAGACGCCATGATGTGGACGAGGATGCTTTTCACAATCCTGGGGGGAACTTCATGTATGGTGCCATGTTGCCGCCAAACGTATTGAGTAACTTGATGGAGGGTGAGTACCATCGCATCCCGATCAAACAAAGACTTGCGGACGCACGACAAGCGGAGTTCGTCGTCGATTTCGAACCATTCTTGTCTTGGCTCCCTGAACTCAGGCAAGATCCTTGTAACCTGCTTCAAACCTCCCGGGCGCCAGGGATGTTCTCTCTCATTCACACCATGGTCAACCATTTGCCATTTTTTGACGACAGTGTTCAGTACAATAGGCATATGTCAGTCACCAATCATCCTTGGTTCGAACCCTTCTGCAAATATATTGCTTCAGATCCTGAGGGTATTGTTCATGTTGAGGACTGGACAAAGTATTCTCCTGGCGCTAGCTACAACGAAGGACAGTCGCCCCTCTCGCTGATTGTCAATTCAAGCAGGGACACGCTTGAATATAAAAGTGCCCACGCACGTATCCAAGAGCCTCTTCAGCTGTGGATTACCGCGTTATTCACGTGCGGCATTCAACTCCTCGCCTATGGTCGATACGAACAAGCAAATTACCAACGGCAAGCCGTCACATATGACAGGCGAGGATGCAATGACCTGTGGTGCTGGAAAGAAGCTGCCAGATATACTCTCATCGGCATAACTTATGGTGCCTGCCCAGAACATTGGAAGCTTTGGTTTGTTTTTGAATATGAAGACTATGCGGGAGACTTCTGGCACATGGTGGAGCAGCCAGGTACGGGGGAGCCTGACTTAATAATTCCAGGCAGCTGGGCGAAAGAGCCCAAGGATCCTAGGACCGTGGAGAGGGAAAGACTCCACGAATGGCAAAATGAGGAGTTGCCTCCTTTGATCTGGTCGGAATATCGCAAGATTCGACCACCAGTGTAGGCGATTTGGCAACCCTGGTGAGGTGAAGTCATGGAGAGAGCCCCGGACACAAACAGCGGCTTCAACTGTTTGGGCTGCCGGGTATTTCACACCACATCTCTTCAACGTCAATGAAAGCTGTCGGTATACTAAGGAGAAACTCAAACGGTCTTGGGATAGAAAATGCTCATTAGCTCATTATTTGCGACAGAATCACCACTCGGTCTAGCATAAGCCAGTCACCAGGGTGCACTCAGGCTCTCTTCTATGGATATCATGTGGAGCGAATTCGGGAAATGCAACGTTTAGGCCGTAAGAAGGGGTGCCAGAACCACATGGTCAAGACCATGCCCCCGACGCGACGCAGGAGGGCATGCGTACAACAGCATGCTCGGCCGAAAATTCACCGACTGAACATTAGGCACTCAACTTTTCGTGAACCGAGAAAGAGAGAAGAAACTCTTCCTCTTCTTATCCCCCTTCATCCCCCTCTCACCATCGTGCTTCTTCGCTTGCTCCTCGGTGTTGAGCTGCGTCGTGTTGTCATGCATAAGCTGCTGAGCGTATGAGACGGTGCCTGCGTTTGTCGCACCAGGCGTGTACGAGATGCTTGGTGGCGGCGAGCCGGGGATGTATGGATGAGAACCCGGGGGCGGTGTGATGGGCCCGTACGCCGGGTGGTTGTGCATCCCCGGCGGCGGGCCTGGAGGCGGAGATCCTGGTCCCCAGGAGTGAGTTGGCGTGCCGTATGGGGAGTGACCTGGAGGTGGTGGGGCGTATCCGTAGGGGTACGGTCCGGGAGGCGGGGGACCGGGAGGAGGTCCATGAGGATGTCCGGGAGGGGGAGGTCCTGGAGGTGGGTACATCGCGCCTGGGGGCGGTGTTCCGTATGGAGGGGAGAGTGGTGGCGGCGTGCCATATTGCGGTGTCGTCGGTTGACTTGGTGGCGCGGGGAGCGCGAGTTGTGATGGCGGGCCTTGAATCGCGGCGAGCTGCTGTTGTTGCTGTTGCTCTGGGGTGGCGAAGAGGTCCATGACCTTGCCGTGGCCGGTGAGTCTCTCGTAGACGGCGAGGGTGGTACCGAAATCCTTGTGGCCGTCAACTTTAATGGCATCGAGTAGCTCCAAGGCGTATGTCTGGCAGTTGTTCGTGATGAGATTGTAGGTAGGCTGCCTTTCTCTAATGCTTTGAATCACAGATTCACCTGCGCAAAGTAAGCCAACCAGATCTTGAGTGAAGTCGTGCGCATAAACTCACCAGCTCGCCGCAGCGCATCATCATTAAAACGTGTCTCACCCACCGGGAAGGTACGCCACTCTTCGCGCTTGACCTTCTCGTTGGTGTAGATGACATGGAACTGCTCGTCCTGCGCGACAACCTCTCAGTCAGCATTGATCATCCATATGCGGGATCCACATCGAACTCATTCCGACGATCCCGAACGAAGTGAAAAAAGCTCACCATCCAGAGCTGGTGCGCATACTCTCCAACGAGTACGGCCCAATGCTGCGTCGGGTCCGGGTAGTACCTGATCCTCTCCGTGATCATCTTCCCTAGGCCGGTGTCCTCCGCGAACCACTTTCCGGCGAGGCCGCCGACAGGGTGCCATCCGACCTCGACCGGCCGGGGCGGGCCGTTGAGGATGGGCTGCGTGACGGGAACGACATTGGGCTTGTGGCCGAGGCCGATGGCGTGTTTGAGAGCGAGCTCACCCTTTGTGAGATTCTTCTGCCTGTGAGCCGTGTCAGTGAGAGCAATCTCAAGCAGCCTCCTTCACCATCGCGAATGGATCGTGATGACGTAGTGAATGGGCTGCCAGGGTGCGCAAAAGCGGTGTGCGGCAGGCCCAGTATTGGCAGGGGACGGCAAAGGAAGAAGGTCGCGCCTACAGGAACTCTCCCACTTTATCCCGCTTCCTCTTCGCTTCCTCGTCGGAGCCGGTCGTGGACACGGTCGTTGACATGGCGATTCAAGTGCGGCGGCTCACGCAAATCTCGGAGGAGGGTTGGTTGAGAGAAATGGGGAACGGACGGAGCACGCCGGTACGGGCCTCAACTCTTTTGGAACGACAACTGTGGCAGGCACTCTACAAATGAAATGTTTTGAAGGGAAAGAAGAGGAAAAAATGGAGCGAGCGGCTGCTGGCGCCGTCTTACGCGTTTTTTGGTGTGGCTGTCGCAAACGCAGGGCGGCGGCAACACAAAATATTGCCTGCTGGGCAAGTGCTTGCTTGCTGGATGCGCTGGCGCCTTGCTTTGAGCTGGACCACGTGAGGCGCAGGCGCGCACCGCCGCATTGATGGGTAATTAAAAACAAGGGACGGAACGGCCGATTCAGCCAATGAAGTGCGATCGTGAGCCTGCCGACGACCCGGGACACGCTACCGAAGCGGAAAGGAGGGCGGATTGCGGCTTCTCCGGGTTGCGATCGATGGGCTGTGGAACGGCAATTGTCTTCTTATTTGTTCCTTCTTCCCAGTCGCATGGAATCGCTTTCGCAATGGGCAGTGGTCTTCGCGCTGCTGCTTTCCGATCGTGCTGTGATGCGCAGCAGGTGATTCGTCATTTATTGGGACTGTCAGTCAATCACTTGCAGCACCAACGCATACGCCTCGAGTCATGCTTGGCGGTTGGCTCCACGCAGTACACTTAGGTTGCGTTTACTCCTTTAGTTGGCTTTCAGACGGTATTCATGAACAGTCTCGAAGCCAATCTGTCTCTCTGGGACAAAGGAAACGTCTCTCTCAACTCCTTTTACCCCGTGTCAATGCATATTTCTGGGATGAGGAGAACCTGCAGGTGGTTACATCAGCCAAGTATTGTACGTTACGTGTCGCCGAGGTATCCGTCACACTGTGTTATGGGGCATTGAATATGTTGAGCCACCTGCAAAAGACACCTGCAAAATCGAAGCATGGCGCATGTTGATGGGCTCGAATGCAATGCAAAAGTTCGGATAATGAACTCTGATAGCAGTTGCCGAAGGCGATCTAGATCGTCTAAACTCCTCGCTTCCTCGGTTGGGCGAACTTGCTTCTGACGGGCGGAGCAAAAGCTTATTTGGATGACTCGACTAAGCTCAACGTCCACCTTAGCAAGGAGCCAGCTCGGTGAACTCAACGACAACGTTAGGTGAGCCACCGCAAGAGGAACACGATGATGAACACGAAATTTCTCTGCATCTTGGAAAAATCAAAGTGGAACCTGCCCAATTCACCAAGCATTGAAGCAACCCTCCATTCCGGCTTGTTGTTATCGTCACTGGACTGATAGAAGCCCCTCTCCGGTCTTGAAGACTAAAGTTTGGGGCAATTTTTCAGTCCATGATAGAGTTTTGCTGTACGGGTAGATACTTCTAGCTAACCAGGCGGGCGGCTACTTACATCATTGTTGTCTTCGTCGTTGTCGCATTTTCGCCGTCTTCGTCATTATTGCTGGTGTCCTATCATCACTATCCGCCCAGATAGCAAAACTCGCACTGGACATTTATCAACATAGGTGTGCCAACTTGATCTTTCACAAAACGACTCAAAAACAGTTATCGGGACTATGTGTACTCGATTCGTATTCTTTACTGTTAGTTATACTAATGTTAAACAATCTTGATTCTTCCTCAGTTGAATTAATGCAGCCCATGTGAGTCTGTAGCCGCTGCTGCAGCCTCAAAACTCAAGTGACCCCCTTTCCAGGACGTGAGTGCGAGGATAACTACTGCTTTCAGGCGTCATCACTCCACCCAAGTAGACACAACTTCCTTCGCCTTCTCGCCATCCTCCACGATCTTGCCCCTCTTGAAGTCCCCCCTGACAACAAAGTCCACATCAAACGAGTTAGGCTCCAGTACCAAATTAGAGTGGAAGCCAGTGTTGATATCAAGATCCAGCGGCTTCTTCGCGACGACATTGAAGTCCCAGGCCAGCTTGGCCAAGACAATCAACACCTGGTTCTCGGCGTAGTCAAGGCCTGGACACATCCGGCGGCCCGCTCCAAAGTTGTACGTGGGCCGGCGGTTCTCCTTCTCCGCCGCAGCCTTCATCTCGGGCCTGACGCCCCACTGGTTGTCCATGTACCGATCTGGGTTGAACGCCTCGGGGTTCTCGTACCATTTCTCATCCCTGTGGATGGCCCAAACGTTCATGATGAAGACGGTGCCCTTGGTGAACTTGTACCCGCGGTAGGTATCGTCACGGGCCAAGACTCGTGGGACACCTTGGGGCGCGGCACCACGCCAGCGCATGGCCTGTATCATGGTCAGCTTCACTCACAGGCATCTGAGTTGGCAGATAGCTTACCTCCATCATGACTGCTCTCAAGAACTTGGCTTCTGGGAGCCTCTCTTCTGTGGGAGGAGAATCTCCCCAGATGGAGTCGACCTCGGCCTGGACCCGCTTCTGAACCTCAGGGAACGCGGCAAAGGCCATAACGACGCTGGAAGTGGTAGCGATGACGGTGTCAACCGCCGCATCCAAGGTACCGCCCCCAAAGACCGCAAGCTCATGGTCACCCATCCGCATGTCTTCATTCGTCTCGGCTTCCATGATAATCCTCGACATGACAGACTCATTATCATGACTCCGCAGCCCCTTGGCAATAGTACCATGTTGAAGCTTCGCGCCGTCGAGCATGTAGTAAATCATCTTCCACATGTCTTTCCTCAACACCAGCGCCTCCTTCCGCCACTTCGCAAGGAAGTCAGGCAAGTGCTTCATGAACGGAAACAAATCAACCGGCGGCGCCTGCGCGGGCTTCAGAAACCTCAGCCACCTCGCCTGCGTGCCGAAGTACTCCTCCGTCGAACTCGGCCCCTCATCCTGGATTTTCCTCCCGCACAGGATCGACAGCGGCGTCGCGAGCGCCCAGTACTTCATGTGCGTCCGGAACTCCGCCGGGTCGTCCAGTATCTTGCGCATCAGGATCGCGGACTGCGCCGTCTGCACGGCGAACACGCGCTTCAGCTCCGCGGGGCGGAACATGTACTGCATCGCCGTGCGCGTCTTCTTGATCGTGTGGTCGTTGGGCTGGAAGATGACGGTGCCCGGGTTGATGATCTTGGAGGGGATGTAGGGCGTGGGCCGGTCCGAGTAGATTGCGCCTCGCTTCTCGATGAGCTCGCGGACGAGCTCGGCGGTCTGGAGGACGACCAGGTTTTGGCCGCCCATCTTGAGGCCGACCATGTCGCCGTAGGTTTTCTTCCATTCTGTGAACTTGAGGAAGGACTTCTCGGGTGGGACCTGGAGGATGTTGCCCAGGCCGAGGATCGCAGGAGGCCCCGGGGGATAGTTTTTGGGACGCCTGGCTGCGAGGGCCCAACTTCCGATGAGGTAGATGAACGGGAGGAGGATGAATGCCAAGGCGGCTGGGTGGAAGACTGATGAAATCAAGCTCATGATGTCGGTTTGGCTGGGTGCTACGGTTCACTTGGGGAAATGCAGAGAGGAGGCACGGAAGCGACTTGAGAGCTGGGGGAAAGGGTCACAAACCAACTCCTTCTATGCCTTCTTATGTCTGAGTCTCCTCCTCACCGATGAAGATCTAGCCTCTGGGCTGCCATCATTGATATTACTTGGCATCGACAACTGCAACAACAACCAACGTCGTGTAACCTGAAACCTGCCAATCTAGGCAGTTTTACGCAAATTACATACGTCGCGCAGTGCGATAAACTAGCTCCTCTCAATGGGCCGCGTCGCTTTTGCCCTCCACAAGAGTTGCCCGGCACTGTAACCTGAGGTAGGCTGAGAGTTGCGATTGCGACTGCCGTGCAGACTGCCGTGGAGCCCACAGCACTGGCGAGCCAAAGAGGTCCTACATGAGAGCTGCAACTGTCAGATCAAACGTATGCGGGCCGTCAGCACCAATGCATGGGCAAGCATTCCATACGCGGGTTGGCCCCGGGATACGGATCTAGGCGAGATCATCCGTCAGCAGCGAGTAACATCGCACGACTTTTCCTGCAAGACCAACGAGTGTGCAGTTCGGGCCAATGAGCCGTTGACGTTTAGTAACTTGCTCTTCAATACTCTTGTCTTGGGCATGGTTTTGATGCGAGTTGGAACATGGGGCAAAAGCCTGGGCGCGTAATTTCGGACTCGGGGTTGCGTGCTTGGCATGCAGTGTGTGAGTTGGGTCTGAGGCGAATACAGCGATTTTCCTTTTCAAGAAGTTGAGTAACGCATCGTCATTGTCAACCTGTCATGTCATGTTCAGGCAGACAGACAAATTCGTAGTCGCGTCATGGACATCAAGAAGCGTTAATGCGAGAAGATCATGAATTGAAGCAAAAAGACATGTATCAACATGCGTTGCGGATGACTTCCGAAACCGAGAATCGAACTCGGGGCTATGCCTGCCTCTCGAAGATGAGAGGGCATCATGTTGGCCACTACACCATATCGGATTGGTTGTTGAAGACCCGCGAGGTTGCGGAGCCTTAGGTGTGGCGGGCGGAGCTTCGTGTGGTGGAAACTTGGGTCGGCGCCCTGCATCTTGTCTCGTCACTACAGACGCTCACGCGAATCAGGTTTGCTTGGTTATTGTACGATGTTCTGGTCCTGAGCCTGTTCAAGTTATCTCTAAGTTAGGCTGCGGCGGCTCGTTTGACCCAGGAATGGATATGAGATGAAATGGTCAAGAGTAATGTATCAGCCTGAAGGTGTAAGTTGAAGTTGTCTTTCCTCAGATAAATTTGCATTGCCATCAGAGAAAACGATATGGTACTGCCGTCTAGACTTGATCACGTTAGGAATGTGTTTAAATTCTAACTGTCTACCTGTTTCTTCAGAGGAGGCGGAGGGCCAAGCCAGCAACACACGTAGGCCAAATAGGCTTTTCTGACGTGTTCAAATAGATACGTTCAAGGAGTATTTATTCGAGTTGTTCCTTTGGTTATTGAATTTCATGCAAATCAAATTTGAACTAATGTTCATAAGGATACTGGATAAGTTTCTAGGTAGTTAGGATGATA